ATGTGCGGGATCGTACAGGTATTTGGAACGTTGACTCTTGGCAATGGAAACCATGCAGTGAATGGAAACACACTGCATCAAGCCGGAAATCGACGTGAGAGAGAAGTCGCTGACCTTTTGAGGCTGAATGCTTAGCGACCTCAGTGTGAGATCGAAACGCAATTTCTTTTTGAATCCTGGCGATATGTCCACTTCTATCATGTTGTTACTGACTGTTTGTACTTATTGTAACATTGAGGTCTGAAGGATAGTACTAGATGAGCGAAATCATCTACTTGAAGAAAGTCGAAAGGATTGCGAAAGCATTCACTCAAAACGACATTGATTGAAGCTCAGGGATGGCGGAATTTTAAAATATCTGTACTGCTTGAAAACTTAATTTCAGTTACGGCATGTGATGTTTGTTCGTAGTAATGTAATGCAATAATGATAGCGGAGCTGGCTGAACTCTCTTCCCGAGAAGATCCAAGTTTTGTTGGTGTAACAAAACTTGAAGAGCTAATGTTTCACTAAGGAACATTTTGAAGTCAGAGCCGCCACGAAATTTCAGTCTACGATGGAACAACTTTCCCATTTTCTCCCTTTAGGACCAGAAAGCTCAAAGAAAGAATATAAGCGATTGTCGGATCACCGCTTAGGGAAATTGAGGGGCTTCTCTCTCATCCAATAGAGAGAAGTCTTAGTATGAATAAAAAACAATGTTGATATCAGTTTTAATTTTCCAGGGACGTGGAAGCAACCGATGCCCGCAGGTTTCGGCGTTCTCAAAGCAATGGCAGCTGATCCGTATTCAGGACCGTGGGGAGGGAAGAATTGTCGAGATTCGCCAATCCAGACCAAGCGCGAATGCTCGTGCAAGGATGGTCAGTGCATGGCAACGGATAAGTACGTAATAGCAATCGTTTTTTATTTAGTGTTCAGGCACGGCTTTTCCCGAGAAAAAATGAACTTCAACAAAGAAGAAATTAGATGTTTCATTTACTTTGGCTCTAGCTGAAAAAGCCTCATCAAATTAACATGTTTAAGGCACAGACCATGATAGGCAGAGTAGGGTAATAGCGAGCTCAATGTGGTCGTTGTATTGGCTCCTAAAAACTCGTAAGCTAACGTCCAAACGTAGGTGCGGCATTTGAAAGCGTGAAGGTAACCAGGGGTGAGACGAAGAAATTCCACTCACTTTAAGCAAAACCTCTCCCACCACTAAGGGTAATAATTGAATTTTCAAAAGTCATAGTTACCAACCAAATTATTCTTTAAGCCGGATAGTGTTTGTGGCGGTAAGCCTTATCGAGGGCATATTGAGTTCGCCCATAAGCACTCAAAATGCTCGGAGTAAGCTTGCGTCGGGTGTAGAATGTCCATTTATTTCATAAAACTGGACACTGCGCGATTCTCACAATGAAACAGGCTGCGAAGGCTGCTGTAGTGAAGGCAAAGAATACGGAAATTGGGGTCTTGTATGAAAAACTTGAGGACCGAGAAGGAGAGTAGTTTTAGCAGAAGTTCTAGCAAGAATGCTCTCAAACTCTGTACATAGGATTAGGTGCGAAGAGCAAAAGGAAAGATTAAGGTTGGGCGTGCAACTTGTCCGGATGGGGTACCAATCGTGGGGTGGAGGACGCCTAGAGCACACGAAATGGGTGGCGCAAACGATTCCTGAACACTGCGATATCCTAGATGAGTAAGGAGCATTGATTCCGTTCTCTTCCTCAAGTAGAAGGTAGTCGCTATAGAGTGTTCCAACCACAGAGGAATCAGGTTGACTGCTTACACGATGAAACTGTATGAGCGTTCGACTGAGGTTTAAAGAAACTGGTTCAAATCAAAAGGAGCAATCCGCCTTTATGTCAGTAAGGTCTACAACGGATGTCATCGTAGGTTGATCCGTAATGGAGAACTATCGAGAAAAGCGTAGATCCTGCTACCTAGCCTTCCTCGATCTGGAAAAGGCATACGGTAGTCCCCAATGGCAAGTCCTCTGAAGAGCACTTCAAGAAAGAATTCAGAATACACGATCTGCTACCTAGTCAAGGACATGTGCAGTGGCTCCTCGACAACAATACGCAGTCCACACAGCCCAAGCGAAGCATAGACGCCACGCTTGGGGTTCACGGAGATCAGTTCTAAACCAGTTTCTCTTCTTGCACTGGATGTCATCACAAGCGGTACTGAATGGATCATCGAAGACCATCCTATGCGCAGGTGACATCGCTTTGACGGCGGAGAGTGGAAAAGAACTCCAGGACAAGCTGCAGAAATGGCAAAAACTGCTGGCGGATAGTGGGCTTCGGCTGTACGTGGAGAATACCAAGTTTGTAAGTTTCGGGAGGGGGTACACGGTTCCAATCGTAAACGGTCGTGGGTAAGCCATCAAAGAGTTGAAGACTTCTGATACCAGGCAAGTGACCTTTTTTGCTGATGGCAGCATGAACCAGACTGTAAAAGCCCGATTAAACGCGGCGTGTTGCGAATCTAAATTTTCGTGAAGGACAATGCTACAGTCACTGATGATGCAGCTCGTCTTGCCGCGAGATAAAGTTGCTTTCCGACACCGGGGAACAAAGTGATCGCTGCCTTGACTAGGTGGGATTCTGGACCATTATTCGCTAGTTACGATCTTAAAGGATAAAATAAAGATAAAGGTTTGCTGTTAACCAATCCCGCCTGGGGGATGCGCCCCCGCACTCGGCTCCATTCAGAATAGTAGTGGCGTAATGAGTGCGTATGTGACCTATACTTATACTGTGGTTTTTCAGCTACATGCACCAGTTCAGTGAGACATTGCGTCACGACTTCCCCGCCTCCACCGGCCCTGCTGCAGTCCTTGCAGAGTCCATTCAAGGTGTGGGTGGGACGATGCAATTCACAAAAGGGTATGATTTAGGAAGAAAGATGTGGCGACCTTGATATCAAGTTAGTGTTTCAGATTCCTGAAGCGCTCGTTCGAAGCTGTAAAAAAGCGCGGCGGACTGGCCATAAGCGACGAGGTGCAGACGGGTTTCGGACGACTTGGGTCGCATTTCTGGGGATTCGAGGGTGAGATTGACCTGACACTTCTTAGTGCTCGCATCTTATAAGCGTCGCTTTTCACGGCGACGGTACGATGCAATGTCGGTCGGTAACTTTAAGACAGCGAGAACCCTATCTAATTGTAAGCTTTCCAAGAGATACGTAGGTTGCCTTTTATATTTTGAGATTTGAGAACAGAAACAAATAATTTTTATTGAAAACCGCTTTACTGCCTTTCAAATTTCTCCACATTAAGATCTATACACTTTTGCTTGGGGCTCGAACCAATTTTCGAAGTACTTTTGCCACTCTGATGTATGTAACTCTAAAACATGGATCCTGAAGGCATCAACGGCTTCTTCATGTGTCGAGAAACGTTGATCTCACATTTTATTTTTTACGAACGGGATGAGAAGAAGTCACCCGGGGACTACATGGCTGATGACCTGTCAAATGGTTGTTTTGAGTGATCAAAAATGCAGTTGCTTGAGCCGATGTGTGGGAGCTCGCATTGTCGTGGTGGAGAGTGACCCGTCTTCAGCAGTTGGTTTTCCTGATTTTTTGAAAGGCAACAGTCAAACGAATGGTTGTATATCACTCAGAACTGACTGTTCTGCTTGTTCTAGTGGTACGGTCGCGACATGTCCAGTTTTTCAGAAAAAAAAAACAGGAGATCAATTGCT